AAAAAAACATATTACCTATCCATATTGCCTATCTATTCTGCTGGCGGGTGACAGGCTTCTCGTTCAAGGAGGTAGCAGTAAAATGTGTATTTACCTTACTCCATTATTTTGCTCATTTTCTTTATGCCTTCTTCATTTTTTTGTGTCCCAGACTTAAGAACGGAACTCAAGGCAAAAAGATTGCATCTTAATCCTGAATTTTAGAACATTCCTAATGAAAACCATTATTTCAGAGAGGAGACGTCTGTTCTGTTTTTCTTTTTATGAAAGAAGAAATACTGTGTGGCAGTTTAATCACATTTCCAGGAAGGAATTGGCAAGCAGAAAGTTAACACCATTGTGGTGTGTGAGGTGTCGCAGCATAAGTGACACCTTGCCCTGATTCCTGCCTCTCTTCAAAGGGAAAGCGTAGGAAGGGACATTCAATCTGCAGAGCAGGCAGATTCATTCTGACATTTCTGTATCAAAGCCACCACCCACAAGTCACCCACTGCAGGGCCAATTAGAGCCAGCTTTGGGCTTCCTCAGTCTTAGAAGAGCTAATTGAGATGGAAATTATGCCAGATTTTTAGTAGTGCTTTTTCACTTCAAATAAAATTCCTGAATTGAGATACTCTCCTGAGGTTGTTTATTTATTTATTTTTTTTAAAGAAAAAGTTACTTTATTTTCATTTTGCGAGGCAACACCTAAAACTATAGCAAGAGAAATTTTAGACTCTTAATTTTTATGCAGAAGATCTAAATCAGATGACTGGAGACATTCTATGGAGGCAACAGGAATATTTAGCTCCCGGAGTCCTGAGGTCCTCGGAGCTCCAATAGCAATTATACTACAGAAACATATAGTTCCTGGAGAAGGAAGGGAACACTAGGGTGACAGCTTCTACTGTGCAGTGGAAAACACCTGTTAAATATTGACTGGCCAGCTGCAAAATCCCTGACACACACACACACACACACACACACACACACACACACACACTCACACACTCATGCGTGTGTATGCTTGAGGCATAATTTAGAAAAAAAAACACAAAAAACAACTCAGATTTTTTTAGTGCTCTTCTGTATCATCAATTACCCAGAAAGGATTCAGGGGAGAGAATTGAACAATATATTTTCACATATATTTTCTTTTTGTTTATTTGCAATATCTCTGGCATTTTGATCTTATGTTCCATGTAAATCCTATTGCTTTTTCCCCTAGGTACTTGGTTTGGTGTTTTCTATGGTCCTGTATTGCCAGATCGGGAACAAATGAACCTGTGAATGCCCAGAGCCTCCATCAGCCAAGCGCCATTGAAATTTTGCTTTGGCTTTGTAATTAAATTAAGTAAGCAATACATAGGTCAGAAGCATGTTTCTAAGAAAGTGTCTCTTTTTGCTAGCTTATAAATATCTTCTACACATACTGAACGTATTTGTGATATGAAGTATGTAAGGACAATGATGTAAGTGTGTATTTTTACTCAAAGTAAAAAGACATTGTTTACATTGGTGTTTTTGTGCTTGATTCTTTGCTTACCTTGCTTTTCTGGAGACATCATGGAGTAATCTTCGTTTCAAAGTGACAGACAATCTGAGCTGTTCAGAAGCGAGATTTTTTTTGTGAAATGTAACAATCACTGATGGTAAGATTGAATTAATTTTGAAGTTGAAATAATTGAGTATGGTCCAGATGAAAGACTCACCATCTCTTTCTGATCATACATCACTGTTGCTAGTACTCTCTCTTTGTAGTTGCCTGCCCATCCTGGGGACAATTGTGGGTGCCCCTTCCCAATCACTGAGTCTCTGGCACTTCTGTGAATCTCTCTCTAAGACACAGTAGTTATAGCTGCTCCTTAATTCTAGTTCTGAGGAACATTTTACTATTTTACTTGGTTTTGAAGTATAATATTCACACAGTAAACACACCTTAACTGTGTAGTTCTGTGGTTGTGTATGCGCTTTGGACAAGCACCACCTAGATCAAAAGACAAAGCGTCTCTAGCACACCAGATTTCTCATTCACGCCATCTCCCAAGGGTGTGCTGAGGGAGGACCACACCAACTGGCCTGGGCAGAGGGCACATATGTGCATGTCCTTCCATACCTGTGCTCTGTGACATCACACTGGTAAATGTGTGGCTAACTATACTGTGTCTTAAATATGGTAGGAATATTTACACAATGGAAATTGGAAAATACTTTAAAATCAGGGAAAAGTATTACTATCGCTTTTTTTTTTTTTTTTGAGAGCTTGTTGGTAAATATGTACCAATGTCTTCACCTTCTCAGTAAATATCTCCCTAAAAGTAACCACTCTTTAACTTTATGACCATACATTCTTCATTTTTGTCTGGTCTTAAATGTTTTCTACATGGAACAAGTATGTAGTCTGGCTTCTTTGACTCAGCCTTTCGTCTGTGAGCTTCACCTACACTGCACGAAGCTGTAGTTTATTCTCAGCTTCATGAGAATGTTATGTAATAGTCCATTGTACATGAATATATTACAATGTGTTTTTCCATTCTTTGATTTAATGGGCATTTGCTTGTATCGTTATCAATAAAGTACCATGAATATTTTTATGTCTTTTGGTACATATATGTATTTCTGGGTATATATTGCCAGAGTAGAATTCTTTTGTTTACATGTGTTTAGCTTCAATAGATTTTGTAAAAAAAAAAAAATGAAGTGATTTTAATAATTTATACTTATAGTAGAAAAGCATGAAGGAGGACCACCAATAAAGAAGGCAACTCACAAGCAGTCAGTGTGACCCCCAAGGGGTCGGAAGCTTGCCGCAGCCCTCCTGAAGCAAGCGACTCTGCTGTGTGCTTCACGGTCCATGATAAAATTTTTAAAGCTACCCTTCGGTGAGCACAGGCGACCTACCAGGAATTACATTATAAACAGTGTCTTTATTATCTCATTTCATTTTCTGCAACTTATAAAATAGGCACTACTATTATCCTCATTTTGAAGTGGGAAAAATTGGAGCTTAGAGAAATTGGTTCACTTGCCCAGACTCCAACAATTACTGATGGGTGAATTGAGATTGACAAATGCCTCTCAAATCCTGACAGTTAATCGTGTTGGTTTTCTTGTAACACAACTGGCCTCTACACTCGCCATATTTCATTGTAACTGCCTGTTCGTTTGTTTCACCCTGTTAGTGCACAGAGACTCCTTGAAGACCTTGATTGTTTATTTGTGTTTATGTGCCTGGAGCAACAGCGCTGATGTAGAATTGGCCCACAGTAAACTGTAGCTAGAAATGATAGATGTGTTAAGAGCTTAGTGTATTCCAAAAAGTACTCTAAGTACTTTATATAAAGTAACTCATTTAATTCAGAACACCCTCATAGGTTAGTACTAATATGAGTCCAACTTACAGACAAGGACACCAGGGTTTAATTTTTTTAAAAAAATGTATTTAGTACGGGGTCTACAGGGCCTCACCACACTGATCAGACTCTAGTGATCCTCCTGTTTTCAGCCTCCCAAGCACTGGGATTCCAGGTGCATACCACCATGCCCAGACCCAGTTGCCATCTCAGCACACACCAGGAGCAGAGCCGACATGGCACACCGGGGATCGAACCCCCGTCCTTGTGCTGCCATAAGCAGGGGCTTGAGTCCACCAAGCTATCTGGCTGGCCCTTACCCCAGGACTTAAGAGAGATGAACTTTTCTTAATTCCGGCAGGTAGTGCATGATGGAGTTGTGATTCAAAGTGGCTCAAAGCCTGTGCTTCTTCTGTCATCATTTAAGCTACTTTACAAATGTTGTCAAGAGAAAGAGTAAGAAAATGAATGTAAAAATGCCATTTATACAATGTCAAGCACACATCAGAAGTTCAATAAACATTAAGTGGTAATAATGTTGGAAGAACTTGTGCCAGTCAGGGTTAGCAGGAAAGCAGGGACCATGCAGCTATGTCCCACGGTGAGAATATAAAAGTTATGCTACTCAGCCTACTTAAGATGTCATAATGACACAGCTGACTGAATATCTTAATAGAAATGTCTGTTCTCAGCATTCCACAGAATGAGAATTCCAAGACTGAGGTCCCTGCAGATTTATTTCCTGGTGAGGGCCTTTTCCCTTGTGACTTATAGATAACTTCTTGCTGTGTTGTCATACTGAGTGGAGAAGAAGAGGGAGAGGAGGCGTGGGCTCAATTGTGATCTCTTCTAAGAACTGTACAGTCATCAGCTCAAGGTTCCACTCCTATGAGCTTATTGAAAACTACTTCCTTACTGCAAGTGTTTCCACAGTGGTGGTTAGGAAAATGTGACTTTTTTTCTGACAGAGGACAGAAAAAGTAAGAAGCCAAATGGAACTACGGGATTGGCTGTGATTAGCAATGGTAGGAAGTCACTGCTACTCTTAGGACTGGGGAACCTGAGCTGTCAGGAGAGCTCAGGATCAAAGTCCACCTGGGGACCACAGAAGAAAGACTTGTCTAGTAAGAATAAGAGCCATGGGGTCAACCCTACAGATATTCTCAGATGAAGAGAGAAATGCCCCGGTGTTTCTCCTCCTGTGTTTGCAAATTTGCCAGACCTTCCTGTTGGTTGAACCCACCTAAAAGCCAGAAAACAAAGGAGCCTGGAAATGTAGCTGGTAAGGAAAGGAATGGTCTAGAAGCACACAGCAAAGATGGGGAGCAGGGAAGAGTTAGAGAGGGAAGGCACCTGAGTGCTGAGCTTAAGAAAAGGACGATGAAAACTGCCAACATATTGCCAAGATTGAGAATTTTCATGAAAAATCCCACAAAGTTCATGGCATATTAGGGACAGAGAGGATGTTATGGCAGAGTTCTTACTGGAAGCTGTTTGTCCTTTAGAAGGTACTTTTGCAATAACATTTTCGATTGTCACAAGAGGAACAGGTGGGGCTGTTGTTGGCAGCTGATGGGCAGAGGACAGAAATGCTGTCAAACCTCCTACTGTGCACAGGAATGTGCCCCACAACCAAGATTTATCCAACCGAAGATGTCAGCTGTACTGTGGATGAGAGACTAAAGAATCATATATAAATAATAATAACTAAGGAATAACTAAGGAATCCTTCCTTGGCCACGGTACTGCGCACACGACCTTGGAAAGTGAAGTGGAATGGAGTCAGAAGTCATTATAGAGTAGCCTGGCTAGCTTGGTAACATTTGCAAGTCTCTTGAATTTCATCATCTTCAAAGGAGAGAATTTTATAGAGAACATATTTAAATTCTTTACTCATTATTTGAAAATCTTTGTCCACAAACTTCTCAAGTGTGTTTAGTTTCTGCTGTAGGTATTTTAAAATAAGCATATTTACTACATTCTTTCCATAGTTCACGTAGGTTTTAATCTCTTCCTCCTTACTGAAGGTCATTGTGAAGAAAGTTTTTACTTCCTTGAAGGGTATTAAATTCTGCCTCTGTGTGTGTGTGTGTGTGTGTGTGTGTGTGTGTGTGTGTGTGTTGTGTTGTGTTAGGAACTGGGTCATGCACCCAGTAGGCAATGCACTCTCTTACTTATCACTGAGATAAGATAAGATAACACACATTAGCAACTTAAAGGAAGGAGAAGTTTGTTTTGGCTCCTGTCTCAGTCCACAGTAGGCTGGCTCCAAGTCTGATGGAATGCAGGAAGGTGTGGTTGGGAGAGTTCTTCACCAAGGAAGCAGACTACAATGTTAGAAGCTGGAGGGAGCAAAGTCCTTCTCGGCCTCACCTCTAGAGACCGTTCCTCTGGTGACCACCTTTTCTGACTGGACCCTAACTCCTAACAGCAACTTAGTTATGAGCTTTCCTAATCCTCGAGCCTTCCAAAAGTCCATGAGGAACTTCTGATAAAGAGGCTTTTCAGTATAGTCCAGTAATTTCACAGATTCCATGTATTTAGCAATTTCACCTGGCTTGTTTTTCTCAGGAAAACATTTTTCCATCAAACTTGCAATATTGTTTCTGTGTCTAATGTTGCAGTCTCTAAGATAGTTTGGATCCTTCAAATTGTCTTCCTAAGGAAGATGGCCACTAAGCCACTGGATCATGCAATAACCAAGGATTTCCAAGGACTGAAAGCTATAGGAAGTAAGGAAGACAGCAAGCTGGACCTCAGTGTTGTCGAGAATGAAAGTTTGAAATCAAAAGCAGTAACAAAGAAGAGAAAGAAAGACATGGAGGAAAGCACAGAGTCTAGCATGGAGGAGACAGAGTGCTTCAATTTCCAGGGGGAGGAGGTCCCACAGACACGTTCAAGAACCTGAAAGAGAATCTAGAAGTAAATCACATGGCT